GGGATGCGCCCCATGTAATTTTATCATATCCCACAATGCTAAGATGAAACTGCAGTAATAAAATGGAAAAGATGTATGGTTTTAAACTGAAAGAGGGTAGCTTTAGATTGGACATAAGGAAGAATTTTTTTACAATGAGGGTGATGAGCCACTGGAACAGATTGCTCAGAGAAGTTGTGGATGCCCCCTCCCTGCAAGTGTTCAAGGTCAGGCTGGACGGGGCTCTGAGCAACCTGATCTAGAGTTGAAGATCCCTGCCCACGGTAGGGGGGTTGGACTAGATGACCTTTAGAGGTCCCTTCCAACCCCAACTATTCTATGATTCTATGAAAATCAGTTTGACAAACAAGGAAGTATTAATATAAAATATCTGACTATGAACACAATGAGAAAAGATTCTCTCCTGCTGTTATACACATTTCAAAACTCAGTTTACTATTTGTGTTCTCATTTTGAATATATTTTATATTGTAAACAACTCATAGTCGGAATAAGATAAAAAGATATGTGAAAGCTTAGTATAAAATAAGAAAACATTTAAAGCTGTGCAGAAATGTATATTCAGTAACAATATCAATGAAAAATGTGGGTGATGAAAGATGTAAACTGAAACAAAATTATTATGCTGCACATAACCTGCTAGACACTTAGGCATGAATCCTATCTCTAGCAACTGCTACTTAAGAGTTTTGACCTCTTGAATGAAAATCAAAAATCACACTTACTAAATTTAAGCAGTTTTACTGGGAAGTGAAGAATTCCTGTAGGAATATATGGACACCGATAGGCCTCAGAAACTGGACAGAACTGTTCAGCAGTCTTCTGTCACAGTTTTTCATCTGCACGTACGCGAGTCCAGGATTCTGTATTACTTTGTTCAGGTCAGTCCTGCAGAAGTGTAGCATTATAGCCCCACCATTTCAATCAATACAGATATTTTTAATATTTTTAAATTATTAAAGCTATACAGATACATGTTTTCATTATTTACCTCATGATAAAAATGGTGCCACTTTGGATTAATAAAAAGCGTTATTACTGGGTATTTTGTTTGAATTTCAGACTAGAGGCTAAATGAGATGGTAGTGGTGGTCCCACTCAGTTTATAAGCAGGCTTTTGGAAGTGAGGCTGCAAATACTGAAGTAACTATTTTTTTGGTTTGGTTTAA